GTTTTAAGAAAACATTTTGTGTGGCAAAAAAAACCAGAGGTGACCAGATAGATTTGTTGCAAAAGATCCATCATTTACTTCCCTGCTTTTGTTTTGAAATGCTGGATATTTAAATCTCTTCAGAACTCTAAAACCCTCCAAACTGAAAAAAGAACTCAATGATGTTTCTGTTATTATGATCCTCTCAGACTGTTGTTAAACCATACATGGGCTGTGTGTTAATGGCTGCATGGTGTAGTGCGTTTCACTAGTTGTGCATGTTCTAGCAGCGCACAACTGTAGCTCTAATGTAAACCCCATTTAAAAACCTATAGCCCTATGCATTATCCATATCCACTTCACACAGACCTGATCATGCACGTGCGTACACACACTCATTTTCCCCTTTCTCCACCACTAACACATGAACAGGTTTATAGTTCCTTACACACATACATTCTTGTACTATATGTGCACATTTATTGCCTATTACGTTTACAGGAAGAGATATGGCTGACATACGGTATGAGTGCAGTAACAGAGTATATTCATCCATCCAATATCTATACTGCTTATCCTGAACAGGGTCACGGGGGGCTGGATCCTATCCCAGCTGACATTGTTCTAAAACAACCACTACAGATTTAGTGTTGTGGCTCCATGGAGCTAATGGAAAAGAATCACCAATGAAAGCTTAAAGCAGATCTTAGTTTTGTGTAAATGACAACAATTAAACTGTTTACATTCTGATGATGGATGATGATTATTATCACTATCATCATCACTATTATTATTATTATTGAGCATATTTGATATGGTATATAGTACTTTAATTATGTAAGACCTGGGAGCAGTATTGATGTTATGGTAGATGTGGGACTAACATGAGCGTTTCTGCAAAACACATGAGGTTTTGCTCGGAACTCTAATGACTGTGTTCTCTGAAAATGAACTCCAAAAGCAGCTTTAAGAGTCCCTCATGATGCATTTAATCTACTCTGCTCACCAGAGTTAGATTCATACCTGAAGCGCTGCTTAGATCTTGATCCCTCTAGATATTTTATAGATGTTTTAGGCTTCAGTTGTCCATGTCATCTTCTACTTCTACCCTTTTTTATCACTTTAACACCAAAGCTTACCAGTTATAAAAAAACAAAATGAAAAATACCAGTGCATTCCTTAGTAAATTCTACCAGAAATAGAAACACTAAAAACTAAATAGAATTTCTTGTTGCCTCAAGGACCACACAATATGATTACAGCTGCATGCTGCACCAGTTAGTGTTCAGAATAACTGCAGCGGCAATATTTTGGAAAAAAAAAGTATATTATCTGATTTTCACAGACAATGAAAGAGTGCCTGATGCGATACAGTGCACAATACAAATAGGAAACACATATTTGTACATCCACAAATGAGATTTTCCAATATAATTTTGTTGGGTGTCAAATGCTGCTTGCTCCGTGGTTAATACATCTTTTTGTTTTTGGAGCAGTTATCCGTAGAAGAATTTTCCACTTCATTAAGATGATCTGTTTCACTGCCAAAAATGCAGATAGCGAGGCATTGTATTTGCTTTTGTTTTACATCCACAACTTATTTTCCAAGTGAGGGCAAACACAAGTCTGTACATGAATGAAAGGTAATTAACTATTTCTAACAAAAACCTGTTTACCAGGATAAAGCCACAACATGTGAATGAGTGTAATAACCCCAAAACAGCCTGATTCATTTTCTTTAACCTGGTGTCAAATAATCTTTCTGTAAGAATTTGATTTGTCTTATACCTCATACAATGTCAGACGCTGTCAATTTCAAACTATCTTCCCAATGGGCTGTGGTTGACCTACGTCACGTTCCCAGCACATTTTCAGTTGATGGGATGCGCCCAGTGGCTTGTTGAGAGCAAACACTGCAGCCCTTGTTGACACTAGTTCTTTAAGTCCATGAGCTGTATTGTGCGCATGTTCAGAATTTCTATATGAAAAACATGCAAAACTCTGAATCTGGAGTTCCATGTAAAATTAATTCAAACTTTATAACTTGTATGATTTGGGTGTTCTGACACCTAAAAAACCAAACAGCATTTTACATTTGAAACAATTTAAATGAACCTTTGGAACAACTACGCACAAGGACATGCAGCACCACATTAAAAGTGCTTGAAGAAATACAGCAAAACATTCAAGTATGAAATCTTAATTTATTCATTCATTCATTCATTTTCTACCGCTTAGTCCCTGAACGAGGTCACGGGTGAGGCCGGAGCCAATCCCGGCCGGCAATCGGGCGAAGGCGGGGTACACCCTGGACAGGTCGCCAGTCCATCGCAGGGCTAACACATAGACGATCAACCACACACACGCACGCACTCCTATGGGCAATTTTAGAGACACCAATCAACCCAAGCTGCATGTCTTTGGTCATCTTAATGTATTTGATCCATTAATTTATTTGAATGTAATAAATCATTACATTTTCATAATTTTTTAGAATACTGAAAACTGCATTTCAATAGGAGTGATTATTAGCCAATAATTATTTTTCAAATACATACAGTAAAAGCCAGGTGCTGCATATAATTCATTATTGATTCCATATTTGTTTAATTACTGAGAACTGGCTGTTTGTGCTGGTGCCCAGAGGCTCAGCTTCTGTTCACTTGTGACCAGTAATATTATCAGTGAATGGTTTTTCATTGGTTTCAAAAGGGTATCAGGTACCAGACCCTGACCTCTGTGGCACGATCTGTGGCAGAGACACGCTCCACAAAAAACTCAAAGCACGGTGAAGTCTGAATAAACATCTTAAATTGGATCTATTTGACAGTTCACCTAGTTATTTATTGACTGACACTCTAGATTTTAAGCAATGCTTTTTTCCATGTGACGTCAGAAAGATCAGTTGAGGTTTACCTTTAACCTTTGGAATGCTGCCGTCAGCGTGCCGTCACCCGCGTGCTAATCAAAATACGCTGTAGTTACTGTATGCCTCTAATTATGCTTTTTTTCTAGTAAACCACAACCTTTTTGTTTTAAGAAAACAAACAATAACATGCGACTTATCCATTTGCAAGACCTGCTTCAAAATCCTACCAGTCTTCTTCCTTTGTAAACTCTCATATGACCCATTTTTTAGAGTATGTGCTTTGCTAACTTTATGAGATTTGTTATTGCGTCAGGGTCTATCACCACCTACATAGCCACTGCCTTGATGCTGGCACAATCCACAGGGTCAAAGAGTTTACACACTTGTTACAGCAAACAGCACCCTTCTCAGTCACTGAACAACTGAACTGTTAAAAACATCTGTCATTTATTCATGCTTTTATAAACTTTTAAGCATTTAAAAACTCATTCATTAGCTTACAGTACTGTGGTTAGTGTTTTTAGGATAAAGATATACTGTATATACCATAATTCAATCTGTATTTTCAGGTACATATATTGTACGTTTATATCTAACAAACAGCACATTTTGATGAGATTAGTTAAAACCTGTCGCTGTAATAATCAAAGACAACTCAGAGGAGAGTCAATAGTTTTATCAACGTCTCTCACTGGGACCATGGCGTCTGGAAAGTGGGACGACAACATTCAAAAAGTTTTTAGTGAGCAAATCAAAACAAAACTGTCAGATTTTAAAATTGATGACATACTAGATTGTTTGAACTAATCAAATGACAACATCCTTTAATCCAGTTATATGTCACATGTATATGTCTCGTGTCTCAGCAGTCACCATGCTGTTTGCTCGCTGGGTGGAGCTGCTGGAGGCCGTCAGGTTCTAGCAGGTTCCCACATCTACCAGCAGATGGGGATAGATAAATGTCACAATGTTTGTGTTCATGTCGTGGTTTGAAACACAACTAGTCTTATTGTGTGGTTTTACACAGTTAACACAGCATTTGTATTATGCTGAGATTAATTCTGTGTACAGAGCAAAACCAGAGAATAACCATTATGTTTTTTATTTTACTTCTGTCTTGACTGGGATGTGACCTGAACTCATGAATCCCTCTGGCTGTGACTGCTGTGTGCTTTATATTATCAGCAGATCCATGTTTTCCCTGTTCATGTTTTGTCTCTTAACCCTAAAAATATCAAAATATCAACTCACACAGGTGCCAAATTTGGTGCAAGTGATACATCAAGGATTAATGAGGATGTCCGCTGTGTATCAGAGCTCCTTGGAAAACTGAAAACTGTTTGGGGATAAAAATATAAAAGAAAAAGAAATACAAAGCCAGTGGTGGAAAGAAAATTATAGCACATAAAACTGTCAATAAAAACATTTAAATAGTGGCTGTACAACTAAAACAGCATACACAACTATAACCAACAAACAAAATACAGTGTATAGGTTAAGGTTCAGGTAGATTAAGTTAAGATATGGATGTTAATCCTCAGAGGTAAATTCAAAAGCTACCTAGCAGTATGGAGTTAAAATTACTCCCACCTTTAGCAGCTGTAACATTAACCTTTGCTTTTACTGTTGGTACTTTAAGTATGACATTGAGTACTTATAACTGAGTGTTTCTGCACTGAGGTGTTAGTGCTTTTACTTTAGTGAAAGATATGAATACTTCTCCCACCACTGTATAAGGCAACATGATATAATATTTCAGATTTAACTAGTTTGCAGTCACTGACAGAGACGACTGACAAGGCCACAGTAATACGGTATGTCTGCTTTTTTGGTCACTAAATTAAAGACATACTAGATTAAAAAAAAAGCTGTGAGCTTGTAACTGTGGGTACCTTTTGAATTATCATTTTCTATCTATGCAAAAACAGCCTGGTGTAAAAAAATTAAACAAAAAGAAACTGGATGTATATATTTGTCAACGGTGGATTAAAATACTGCTGTTTTCAGATGCAGCAGACTGCTGAGGCGGTGCATCAAGGTAACCTATTGCTGCCATTTATCTGATGTGAAATGCTCCTCTCCAGCTCAGCGCCCACCGGGTGGATCAGACAGCGTGTTCACCAGCGCCGACACTTGGCCGACCTTGGTCATGATGGATAGGAAATTCAGATTCATAAGTCCTGCATGCATGTTGATGGGCAGCCATTCCTCATTCTTCTTATCACACAGCAGGATGGGAGAAATATGGAGTAGTACAGTGCGTTTTTTTCTTTACAAAGGAATGGGTAATCTCTGAACAGGAATCTTTGCAGCTCTTCACTATGTTTTTTTTTATAAGTGGAAAAATGCTGATTTTCTTTGAATCTCACTGCTGCAGTGATTGGTAATAAACCTTTTTGTCTTAACATGCATGTGGTGTTAATTAGGCATTGAACAAGGTGATATTAATGAATACTGATGACAAACCGTATTATTGTTTTGCTTTTTGTATTTTCTGATATTTTCAGAGATGACAGACATATTGCTTTGTTTCTGACTCTGATGTCAATATTGAAAATTACCACAAAAGATGTCAGGGCTGGGGCCTCATTATGGTTCAGAGTCGTTCTGTTGGTGTTTGACACTATGGATCCTTAGTACTGCAGCATGACCTGTAGAGACAACGTGACTTATTGAAAGATAGCATGTTTATTTACAGTGACACTGGCTGCAGTCCATTTTTATGTCTTTACAGACAGACCCATGCACTGGTGAAGTGTTACTGCAGATCAGATTAAGTGGACATACCGTATGGATGAACTTACTTCACTGAGCCAGTCTATGAAGGCAGAGGTGCGGGTGAAGACAGTGGGCTTCTTCACTTCATTGCAGACACGGGAGGAAACAAAGCTGGTTACCCCCTGAACGTACCACCTACCATCCTGACCCAGACAGTTCAGAGGACCACCAGAGTCTCCCTGAGAGACAGACAGGGAACTGTATAACACTGTTTAAACTTCCTGACCTTGTTCAGAGCAGGAAGTTCAGCTGTGACAGGTAGAAGCTGCTTTCCTTTGGCTCTTCACATACATTGCATCCAGCTACGATGTCTCCTCCTGCACAGATCATGGTGCTCTTGACGTTGATGCCCCACCAGTCACTGCGGCTGCACACACTGTGCTCCACCACGGGCAGTAAGGCCTGCTGCAGCTTATCAGGCATAGGGCCATGGGCTGAGACACAGGAAGGATAAAGGACAACACAAATCCATATTTTATTGTGTGCAGCAGGCAGAGAGCAGGGTAGGCAAAGTGATTAATGATTCACTGAAAAAGTAAACAAGTTACTTTAGTATTATCACAGCTGAAAACATAATTAGTTACATTTTTATGTTTGTTACACAGCGTAGCTCCATCAAAGGCACTCCTCGTTCACTTGTCATATTTTTTCTATTTAACAGGTGCATAAATAGATTTTGATTCACTCTAATGAAGGGAATAATGGCTTTTTGAATGGAGCAGGATCTTATGGCTGTTCAAAATCTGTGCAAAAAGAACAGCTCATTGTTCTTTATGTAACCACCGTGAAACAATCAGAAAGTAATGTTTTATTTCTATAATTCAATACTTTGGTCTTACTAATGCCACTCCCTCTTTTCAATCACTCTCTAGCTCACTCGACCACCACTATTCTTTCTCTTTATCATTTATTTAGCCAGAAAGAGGGGCCAGCTTTGAATGTTGTGTCTACAATCAGGACCAGATAAATCCCTCTCATTCTGCCTTTATAGAACCTGAAGGCAAGTACACACTACGGAGTCAATCATGAATAGGATGTGAGCGTGACAAATGATCAAATGCACTTGGACCAGTTCTTGCCCAGTCAGCATTAGCTGTTGACAGCTGGCAGATAAAATTGTGTAATTTGTACCATGTAAAGATTAGAATCTTAAGTCTTTACAGTAGGTCCAGTTGCTGCCAGGCTTTCTCATAAAGACTTTTTAAAAACATGTTTTTACTAGTATGTATCGACATACTAGTAAATGTACAAAACATAAAGATAAACATTCATGAATGGTGAGTTTCAAGGATTATAGTGTGAAGGTCCAGGGATCAACTGAAGTGGAAGAAAAGCTGACTGAACTGTGGCAGGAGAATGAATGCCTCTACAATATGAACTGATACATTTCACTTCCCTCTGTAGGCTATACTGTCCACATTGTCCATGCATCTCCATCCTGGATCGCTCTCAAACTTTGTGGTTTTTTCTTTTTTTTCATCATCTTCAGGGTGGCAGGACCAGATGGTGTCACCCCTCAAATTCTGAAAGCCTGTGGGGGATCAACTAGCTAGTGTGTACACAGACATCTTCAACCTGTCTTTAACCCAAGCAGTAGTTCCTCGCATTTTCAAAAAATCCATTATCATACTGGTCCCTAAGACGTCAGACACATCCATTCTGAATGACTTCAGGCCAGTGGCGCTCACATCAGTCACCATGAAGTGCTCAGAGAAACTGGTCCTCACAGACATGTCCTAACCACATGGTCCCGGACACTGTAGAACCTCTCCAGTTTGCCTACCGCCCCAACAGATCAGTGGACGATGCGACAGCTCTGGCTTTATTCCACACCCTGAAAAACCTGGACAACAGCAGTACGTATGCTAGGATGCTCTTCCTGGATTACAGTTCTGCATTCAACTCCATTCGCCCAGGCAGGCTGATTGGGAAGCTGACAGACCTCGGTGTACCAACTCCCACCTGTAACTGGATCCTGGACTTCCTGGCTGAAAGACCACAGGTGGTCAGAATGGGAGGGTGGGTATCTGCTGAGCTCACAATCAGCACAGGCTCACCGCAGGGCTGCTGTCTCAGCCCCAAACTCTTCACCCTGTACACCCACGACTGTGTCTCCAACACCATCATCATTAAATAGGCCTCATCAAGGGGGGAGACGAGTCGGGTTACAGAAGCTTGGTGAACAACATTCTTGTTTATGGAGAGGAGAATGACCTCATCCTCAACATAATAAAGACAAAAGAAATAATAGTAGACTTCAGGAAGAACCCCTCCCCTCTGCTGCCTCTGACCATCAAAGGGACTGAGGTGGAGAGGGCTGACAGCCACAGTGAAGGAAGCCCAGCAACGGCTATACTTCATCAGACAGCTCAGGAAAGCTGGTCTGAACCGTTTCCCCCTCATCCAGGCTTATAGAGGACTGGTAGAGAGCATCCTCACTACTGGCATCACAGTCTGGTATGGTAACACCACACAGGCAGAGAGGAAGGCTCTTCATAGGGTCATAAAGACTGAAGAGAGGATCATTGGGACTGAACTGCCTGCTATGAACACAATATACACACAGTCGTGTACACACGCTGTCGTAAAAGGGCAGAGAACATACTCAGAGACCCACGCCACCCAGCTCACTCCCTGCTCAGACACAAAAATTGGACCTACAGCCTCAGGCACAGCAGGGCGGACAGTATCATCACACACAGAACTAGACTTTATAACAGCTTTTTCCCTGCCACAGTAAGACTGATGTGAGAAATGTGAGAATATATGTGCAATAACCCCTCACTAGACATGCACAATAATAATACAGAAATGTTCCACAAGGTATTTTGTAAGAGCATCTCATCAACAATGTTCTCTTGTGGGACCTGAATATTAGCAGGACATTCTCTATCAAGAAATGGAAGCAGGCCTGAATATAAACTGTGTTTTAGTATGTTATAACCCCTCACTACCTCACCTAGCGTAATGCCATATCCAGCTCCACCATGTGAATTACTCAGTGCACTGTTTGAAGTTCACTGGGGAAAATACTATTACCCTATTTTTGTGTAATGTGGTTTTTAATACTTTGTCATCCTTATGTAACTTTTTTATTTTAAGACTAATTGTTCTTTCTGGCCTTTGACTCCTTACCTGACTCCAAAGGAGAGCTGTACAAGAATTCCTATATGCCTAGACTGTCTGTTTATGCATACATGGCTAATAAAAATCTCGACTTGACTCTTGACTTCAGCACATATTAAACTGTAAACCATGGATAGATATTAATAGTCCATTCATATGTTTAAGGGTATAAGGATGTGAAAATTGGCATAATATAGCAGAACTATTGACTTATCTACTGCCAGAACTTCCAGTCATTGCAAATAGTCATTAAACATGTTGCCCACAGTGTTTGCTCAGTCATAAAGTGTGTCAAGGTCTAAATATGTCTTTAGGTGTGGCCTGTCCAGTCTTAGAAAGCTTCAGCTACTTGATAAGTGTGTCCCTACCTTATCTTGACAACATCTACCTCCTGGGACTGGCTGGTTCTCACTGTTCACATAAAAAGCAGTGGAGCGAATTTAGGGAAGGCAGTCAAATTTCTGTGCAATGATAAAAAGAAACGCTTGCAAGTATATGACTTGGATTCCTTCACTCATACCAAAGATCCATTGAAAAAATCAGATCAGCTATCTTTGAGCGTTGTGAAATAGTGAAACTAATTAACCTTAGAATGCAACTATAAGGTTTATTAAAAACAGGCTCTGAAATAAAGCAATTTAATGCTAGCAACATTAGCACTGAAGCTAAGGTGGAGCCAGACACTGACTTAGCACAAAACACAAAGCAAAGCAGTTTCCCCTCTCCCCAACTAAAATGTACTTATGCGTTTGGAATTACTATGAGCTACATTTCTCCTATAAAGGCTAATGGCCTACAGACACCTCCGACTCCTGCACCTAGCTAACATGTATTGGATCAGTCATCAAATCCCCAGTAACAAAGCTAATCTGCAGTGTTACTGGGGATTATAAACTCTTGTAAACCAAACTGCTGTTATCTGATTACTGATTTTAAATTGCACTACTAATTACTGAAAAAGTAATCATGTGTGTCATTTTACTAAGTAATGTGTCACTGGCCAACAATGTCAGTGTGCAGATTTTGCAAGTGATGTTATCAACCATGTTTGTTTTATAGCTACTGTGGGGAGAACTGAGTTCTAGGCTGCCTGAGCTTAAATCTCCCATTAATTTTCCATGCAAATGAAATGCTGCAGTGATCCGCAGTGCACAGACAGGAAGACAGATTAGGACACAGTGACATTACTGTAAAGGTTTCCCCAGCCAGAGATGTAACATGGTGTCCCATGGGTGAGGATCTCTGCAGCCTCCGGAAGACAAGCCACACCAACGCTGTCATTCATAATGGGGCTCTTATCCAGTTTCAGCAGGGCAAGATCATTACTATGAAAAATTTATTATAATTAGATATGCACTGATATTATGGTGGGGAAATGTACACTACCTTTTAAGCAAGCTCATATTGTTTAGATCTTTTTTAAAATCTGTATTTATTGGTAATATGAATGTGTTAAATTGCTTATATTATGTAGCCTGTGAGTAAATAGGTGACATTACTTGTATTTGCTTTAACAGCAGCTTTTTATTATAGTTCTTTGCTCACAGGTGTTAATAAAAAGCATTATTTATGTTTTTAAGGCTGCTACAGAGAATATAGAAGCAAGGTTATTTATTATTTATTCACCTGCAGATTTTTTTTCTTGTTGCCAAGGAGTCAAAATATACGCACCCGTTAGCCACATGGTCAATATCCCACTTAGGATGGACAATGATGCGCAGAATATCTCTGATCTGCTCAGTACCCTCCTGCTGGCTCATATCATGTTCTCCTAAGACAACACGGTACACGTCTCCTGGCCTTTAGGACAGTTCAATTTAAAAGTACAATAAGTAGTGACATTTCCATCATATTGTATACTTCCACACCTCCATCTCACTGACATTGCATGTCAGCATAGTTTGTGTGTGGTTGCTTCAACAAATTCACTTGTTATCCTTTGAAACATACAGTAGCTCCCTATTCTTAATGTTAGTCACCAGATGCAATGTCCAGCAGTCAGCACCCAGCGAGGCCCAATCAGAGTTCCTCCACAGGTGTGATGGTAACGGCTGCCGTGCTTCACCTGCAGGGAGATCTGAGAAAAAACACTAACAGTCAGGATTTAATTACAGCATGAATAACAACCAACAAGTGAATTAAAAACATTATGGTTACCTGCCAAGGCCAGCTATGGGGCCGAGCATCCACTCCATTCACTATCCTGTTCGTATCAGGCTTCACAGTAGGTGTGCCACATCCAAAAACTACAAGCACATGGTAAGGGATTCTATAACTGAAATCCTATGTGTCTATTTGTGTTGTGTAAGAACTGTGCTACTTCTCTAACCAGTCCATGTATAGCACTTACCATATGCTGTCTGGAGCAGTAGAAGGATGAATGTCTGTAGCATACTGTCAGTTGATGAAGCACATATACACACTCCCTCGGTTCAGTTCAGTTCTCTTATACTGTACCTCCTCAAAAACAGATTACATTGAACCTGTGGAACTTTGTTATCACATCCACTGCAGAGGCCCAATCAGAGGAGCTGGGAAAAACATTCTGTTCCGCAGATGCAACAGTTTTTCTGCCAGGACACTGGACTGATCTGGAAAAACAGGAGAGATTACCAGTGTACAGGTGTTAAGACACTTGTGATGTGTTACAGTGTGTATAATTTTTAATTTCCTAGACCACAGTAGCAGTAATATGTCATGGATAACAACATATCAATATAGCTTTAATGTATCACAAATTTCACTTACTCTGGTCATGTGGCCACTGAAGTAAGGTGCTGTGATTAGAATTTGCTGCTACCATATTGATGCAGCTCGGTATCATCCTGGAAAAAACAAAGCTACATCTGTCACACAATAAAAGGAAGTGATGCATTTTACATTCCTGGAGCCAGCACCGGGTAAATAAAGGTAAAGGTAAGAACAGACCATTAATGGAATATGCAAGAAGACACTGACACACCACTGATCCTGATTACACAGCAATCTCTAGGTAGTGTAGTGTGAAACACAACAAAGACATCTTATCACCAAGCACAGTATAATACCAAAAGACAAACAAAGAAGTACAGATTGGTGCTCGAACCATAATTTGCAACTAACTATATGAAAACATAGAAAACCCTCCAGCTTGAGCAAACAGGACAAACTTTTCTTAGAGTGAAACGTGAGTTATGTGAAAATGGGAATAGCTGAAGTAGTAACTCAGAGCAAGTGAAGAAGAAAACCAGGGAGAAAAGAGGATGAGGCAGAGAAATTGAGATGAGGGTTTGGTGTTGTCAGCTGTCTTGGTTCTCAGCATACTGTGAGAAATAAATTTTCTTCCTGTGAACACAGAACTGGATAGCACTGGATTGCTTTCAAGGGGAGCAGTCCTGTAACAACTTTCTTTCCTTTAATAGGGTTATACGTTCATGGAGGGCCCCACGGTGCTGCTGAATCTGGACCCAATTCTTCATGCCTCTCTCAGACAGTATCCGTTCCTCCTGAGGGAAACTAATATCACTCTCTGGAGAGGATGGCATGCATCTATAAGTTTCCTCTTTTAGGGAGCAAATCAAATCAATGTTGCCTCAACAGCTAAAAGGCTTTGCTTGTTTTCTCGCTGTGTTAAGATAATTCTCTACACCAAACATTGCATCAAGATTTATTAAGCAGATGTGCTGTATGTTTGTATAACATAGTGAAGATAGAACCAGGCTGCCAAAGGAAAAACTCATAATGAATTAACCACTGATGCTGTTAAGTCTCTCAGGAGTGACCTAATATTTATTTTGAGTGAGTGTATTGAACAATAAATTCCATAAAATGAAACTATCTAAAAAAAAATGTATGGCACTTTTAAATCATGTTAATGCAGTACTATTAAATGCAAATACTGGATATTACAACACTGCAAACTGATTACAGAACCTTCAACCACATATAGGTTTAAGTCACTAAGCAGGAGAGGGAACAGACAATTTTTAACATTTTGCAATAAGTTATGCTATTAAACACTCAGTATCATGACAAAAAATCAAATGATTATGGTGGAAGCATACAAATTAATTTAAAAGGGCAAAATTTTGCAGCAAAATCATTTCATTTCAGTGTAATCACAGTAATCATCAGAAAATCAGCTTGTTAATATGCATGGATGTTCCATGTACAGTAGACAACACTTTCATGGACTTTGGCATATTTGTTGTGTTCACCAAAAGCAAGTTGTTTTGACAATACTGACCTTTCAGAGGACACCGCTCATGGAGGTCCTAAATGGAATGAGCTCTTAGCTGTTTTGCACCACTACCTTTTATTTAACCTCTCCATCAGGGTAAGAACTACTCCATTAAAGAGCAGTGGTCTGACAATTACTGTAGGAGCCAGAAGTCAATGGTACAAATAACATCGTAACATGAGAATTTATTGTACTAAGAGCCACCAAGCCAAACAATTTTAAGTTAGTAAGCACATTAGTTCAGACAGCTTTATTTTTCCTATTTTCGCATGTTTTTATTGAACAAAATAGTGTGCAATGGTGAGCAAAATGCCAGGAGGAAGTAATCAGAAAGAAGGAAATAGAGGAGAAAGAAAATGGACACGGACACTCAAAAAGACCTGGATGCAGACAAGATGTCATACTGCCAATCTCAACAGTCGAATAAGATGTTAATCTTAAAGGATTTATGGTTAAGGTTAGGGCTAGAGGTTAGGGGTTGGAGTTCGGTTAAGGTTCTGAATAAAGCTGACAACCTCTGGCCGAGGTTGACAGCGCATAAATCTTGGTTACAACCCGTCATCTTGTCTTCAACCAGGTCCGTCTTAGAGCTGCTGTTACTGACTAACATTAGCCCAATTGGGTCACTGAACGGTTAGCTAGCCACCTACACCAGTTTAACAACTATCCCTAAGACTAGTTAATACATAACCAGGTTTCCAGCCCAACCTACATATCTTGCATGTGTAACACTGGGATCCATAAAGCCAGGCTCTGAGGATGTGGAAAAGTTTCTTTATTGCTAACAGTGGTTTTCAACATCCAGTCAACACACACGGCTCATCCCTAGCAGCCCTCTCCTTTTTCCCTCCACTGACCCTACTCTCCGGTCGGAGGCTCAGAAGCGTGAGATGCACGACCTCTAGACTGAAAAACTCTTTCTTTCCAACTGCCATCAGACTCCTAACCAGCTGACTCGGGATCTATCTAATGTAATTCCATCTGTAATGTTTATGTAACACTTTGGGATCCATACACCGAGGATGTGTGATAGTTTTTTTATTGCTAACAGGGGTTAGTACTGTGCCCTCCTTGTCTTTGATGTCCAGCTCACTGCTCGTCAACAGTCTGGTGTCCCACACATGCATAAGCAAACGTGACTTGGTGTGATTGCTGCATAAGAGTCGTTAATTCTAGCTCGGTGTACTTAGGCACAGCAGTGCTTGATCTAAATGCTAACACGCTCACAATGACAGTGCACACTGGTGTTTATCAGGTGGTTTATCATGTTTACCATATTCATAGATATTAGGCTATATTTGCAAACAGCTGAGTAAATATGCCTTTACTTTTGAAAGTATTAGTCATGAACCAATGCAGTGGACAAATTTAAATTTTCTAATGATGGTGCTAGATCAATAAAGTGATCACAATTCATCCTGACAGGGACAGGTTTCAAATTTCATGGCGTTTGAAATATTAGACTGGTGGATCAACTGACCAGCTGACCGACCATCTATAGATACTGCTAGTGTAGCCAGAAATGACCAGTTCAACCAGTTTCTAAATTATAAAAGTTTTCTTTAGTTAGGAAATTATTGCAGTATCACATTAGAGTTCACATCACATTAGTGTATATTTTGATTTTATGATAAAATGACATTTAAAAAATAATGTTTGGTGTAAAAATTTCTGAGCTGTTCCTAAAGTGGTTGCCTCTATAACCCTTTTATTGAAAACATCAATACAATGTTCTGCTGGAGTATGTGAATCGATGTTTCCAAAGAGAAATACAGTTAGCCACAGAATCAGGCCTGCACTTTATTCAGTGGTTGCTCAAGACAAGGATAAATTATCTGAAACCAGCCAGTGCAGTTAAACGCCAAGTATATATCTCACAAGGTTTTCAGACATGTCAAAAATGTGATGAGTGCAGCCTATAGAGGGAGGAAATGCAGCCAATTAGACCTTTGAAACATAAATCACACTGCTCTGTCACATAAAATAGCCAATATTCAGTTTCCAGCCACTGCAAAGAAGAATATCAGTCATTAATAAAAGGAATAAAATAGTCTAAATAAATGCAGAGCATATGTGGCCTATGAGTTAGTTCACAATATCACCTTTCACCACAACTGAGGGGAAACATGTAGCATGAGCGTGATATCATTTGGTTAAAAGCAAATTTATAAAATATAGCATCTATACCAGTGAATAACATTCCCAAAAGGGAAGAATGTACAGTATTAAATGAGCAGTTCCACATTTTGTGAGAAATGCTTATTCACTCACTTTACCAAAATGAATAACACATCTATGCTAAGTATTATGCTATAGGCACCAGCCATTTAGCTTAGCTTAATTTAAAATGTTGTTTTCAGTTTCTGTAGAGGGTATGGAACTTTTTAAGGTGCTAGCTGGCCTTTTATTTTTGGTCTTTCTTTTAGTGGGCTGTTTACTCTAGTACAGCTAAGCTAATAAGCTTGTCCAGAGGTTTAAAACAAAAGCCCAATAACACATCTAAAACTCACTAATTAACTTATCAACAGTGTTGGGAAAGTTAATTTGAAATATAATAAGATACAGATTACTGATTTCCCTGTTAAAATGTAATAATTATTTTAATTACTTTATCAAAGTAATGTAGGCTAAAATATTACATTCAGTTACTTTTTAACAAATGTTTTAAACTGGACAATGCAGCAAAAAAAGGCTCACCCATTAGATGGGCACTGAGCAACAAATAGAGCAAAATTACATTTTGAACATACATAAATAACATGGTGGGTTTATTTTATGGGAATGATTGTGGTTACATTAACTCGCCTGTAGGTGAAATAAATGGTAACTAATTAGATGTAGAGCTACTTGTAAGCCATTCTACCCATGATAATGTTGCACTCAAATTTGTTCCAGCAGCTTTGCTAACCCGCGATTTTGGGAAATATGCCAAAAGGAGGCATTCTGCACAGAGAATAGGCACAAAGCAACAGAATATTATAGTCTAAGCTTTTTATCCAAATGAATATATTCAGATATAACCTCTTTTTAATCACCACCAATTAGTAATTATAATTTACATTGGTTAACATTGCTTATCGATATCTTGTTTGTGTACCACAGAACCCAGTGGGTAAAAACAATATATTTTAAGATAAGCTAAGCTCATAGGCTGTCAGTGGTAGCTTCATATAATCAAAAGTAGTATTATTCTTTTCCCACC